TTATCCCAAAAATCCTTGTTATCTGAATCCACAGTGTACACCAATGTAGCGCTATGTTAGTTAATCACATCCTTTTTACCCAAAATGCATGGTTATCCACAACTTTTGGACTTCCCCCTGACTAATTGGCAAAAAGAAAGTGGCGTTGTCCAGATGCTGAGCATACGCTATGCTAACACACAGCTCTGGTATATTTGACTTGGGCATGCAGTAAAACTGACTTTTGAACGTTATTTGGTCTTTGAGTCAATGATTCCCCTTCTGCTTTTAAACCCAGGGCCTTGAAATGGGACATTAACTGTTGTTAATAGGTCTGAATAAGCTTTGTGGGGTCAACCTCCAAGAACGTATTTGCCCCATCTTCCTTCCAGCCCCTCCCTGCCCATTGCTTTTAAGAACAGTGCTTGCATTGAATTCCTTTCCTTTAGATCTGTTCCTAGTCCCTTCCAGTAATCAATTGCCATCCTTTATCCTCCACCCCCCACCCCCATGCTGGCTTAACTCTGCTGGCTGGTGTGTTTGGGGTGGAGTATTACCAAAGCTCTGCTACTCCTGCCTCTCTCCTTGCCTATCTTCTTACAGTGAGGAGAGGACAGTGGTGGGAGCAGTGAAGGAACATAAAGGAGAATAAACCCCCCCCCCCCCCATGGTCTGACATGCCTGCATAGTTTGATTTACAGCATAACCTTATGTGATGTTGCACTCATTCTGCCTCCGTTTCACCATTTGTAAAATGGAGTTAATGATATCAGGGTTTTGTGAAGGTAAATTCATTAATGCTTGTGAGATGCTACCGTGATGCATGCTATAGACATGCCTCTAAATCAATCAGTATTTTTTCCTATTCATAAATTGCCACTATTCCTCCTTTCACAATTAAAAATGGAGACTGGTTGCTTTATCATTTCTTTACAACATCCCCCCACCACCCTCATGAATGGATGTTTCAGGGCAGCGCTCTCTCTGGGACCCCATGTACAAATTCCACAAAAGGGATATCACTCCTAGTGCTATATTAGTTATACCAGATTGCAAAACACGGGTCGGGGGGTAGGGGAGGGGGATTCTTTTCCTTTTGCTGCTAAAGCCTATCTGAATCCTGGCTCTGATCCTATTGAGACAGGGAGAAATGAAGTTAAGATCAGAATCTTTATAGCAGTGGCATATCTACGAATTTTATTTTATTTAGACTTATTAAGAGTCCTAATGCAAGCACTAAGCATCTGTTAAAGATAGCACCTAAGGATAACTATCCTTAAGATAAATGACATTACTGCCCAAAGCCATTTCACATGGGACTGCACCAATATCACAAATAACCCTCTAACCCAGTGGTGGGCAACCTGCTGGTGGGCCGCGAGACATTTTGTTGATGTTGACCATCCGCAGGTACGGTACTCCGCAGTTCCCAGTGGCCGCGGTTCGCCGTTCTCAGCCAATGGGAGATGCGGGAAGCGGCGGGCCTCAGGGACGTGCTGGCTATTGCTTCCCGCAGCTCCCATTGATCAGGAACGGCGAACTGCAGCCAGTGGGAGCAGCGGGGGGGGCGGCCAAGCCCACAGAGAGTCAACGTCAGCAAAATGTCTCGCAGCCCACAATCAGATTACCCTGATGGGCCACATGCAGTCCATGGGCCGCAGGTTGCCCACCACTGCTCTAACCCCTCATAGGCATATTAGCCACTGCTGACTACCCCCATTTCCCTCAACCTACTCCTCCCAGAAAGGCCTAGGAAATAGATAGGTCTTTCAGCAAAACCTAAAGAGCAACAAATCTGGACTGCTTGAAACAAAGGTGGGGGGATGAGTTCAGAGCCAAGGACCCCGCCCAGAAAATTCCCTGCTGGCAGCTGTTGAACCAGGCGCTGTTGGCTGCAGGGCCTCCACTGAAGATAGTTGCCATGAGATCACATGGAGAGACAGGCAGTGATTCAACTAGCCAGCTTTACTGGTCAAACCCAATCCCAAGGGAGCATCACTGATTGCATTGCCGGCCCTAGACACTGCCCTTGTTGTGGGCTGCCCATGGAGATGTCTGTCATATCCCTTGTGCAAATGGTGTTTTATTTCTTGCCAAAACATGTTTCTCAGAGTACGGCTACAGCGCAATCAAGAGGCATGAGTGCAGCACATGTGTACATACCCGAGGTCGCTTTGATCTATCTACATCCAAGCTAGCAGCGTAGCATGGCAGCAGGGATAGCCGCATAGGCTAGTCTCCCGAACAGAACCCTGCCCAGGACCCGGGGTGCATATCTGAGCACCTCGCCCATGCCACCTCACTAGACTGCTGTTGTTACTTGAGCTGGGGTTAATCTAGACAGATCAAAGCTAGCGTGGGTAGGCCTAAACATGCTGCAGTCACACCGTCTATTTGCTGTGCAGACATATCCATAGACTTAATGTTATCTCATGCCAAAGGATTTGAAATGGACACAAGGTTTTGATCCTGAGCAGTGCTGAATCCCTTCTGCAAAGTACTGAACTTTGGTGGGTGATCAACATGACACAGAATCGGGCTCCTTGAGCCACAATTCTTCCTGCCCAGACCCTTCTGCTCATTGATAAAATGGTTCTTAAAGTCACTTCTACATACGCAGGTATTTAGTTTTTCGGATCTCGTCACCAAACACAGTAGCATGGTTCAGTGGGCAGAGCATGCGAGTCAAGTCAGGAGATCTGGGTTCTATTCACAACCCTGTCAGTGATCGGGGCAAGACACTTCATTTCTCTGTCTCCCCTCCCTCTTTGTTTAAATGAGGGCTCTTGAGGGCAGGGACTGCCTGTCACCATGTGCTACAATGAGACCCTAAATCTTGCTTGGGGGCTGTAGGTGCTACTATAACACAAATAATATTCCAGTATAATGTATTCCCTTCATCTGTATTGCACAACGTTTCTGGTGCTGCCCCTATCTAACTCTTCTCATTCGAAGCCAGTTGCAATAGTTTTCAACAGCAATCAGACCTTCTGGCCACATTTAAATGCATTTGAAAACGAGGTTTCATTTAAAGCAAAGCAAGATCACATTGCGATTTACTAACGGTGCTAGTTAAATAATTTATGTTTTACTGCACTTTATGCTTGTACTATATAGCCCAGGTAACTCCACTGACAAGACTTTGTTGCCTCACTGCCCAGAAATAATGATCTCAGACAAATGTATGTTCACTGTCAGCTGGGCTCTTTTTGGTTCACTTGACATGGTTTTGGCAGAAAAGACAGTCAATAAGCACCTACATCTGAGGTCATTGTTGCTATAAAAATTGCACATTCTGTATAATATCCACACCACGTTTTAAAGCTTTTAAAATGTTCTGTCTCATTACTGTGCTACTGTAGGGTTCAGAATAAATCCTATTTAAGCAGACTTCAAATATCTAATCGACACAGGATTTCATGCTGCTAAAGAATATTCATATCACATAATACAGCTGAAAAATTAATATTTCTTTTTAAAAATATTAAGCATCGTTTTTGTGTGTGTGTGTATACAGGATCTGGGCTAGGTCCTGCAGTCCTTACTCAGGTGAGTAATCCATTGAAATCAATATCTGGTCCACTGTATCTTTCATATTTTAGTGTTAAGGCAGTTGCAATTCTGGGGTTTGATTCTGTTCTCAATAATATGATTAGGAAGAGGAATTAAAGTTTTGGACTGTCAGGATTACTATAAAGTATAATAGAATAAAACAGCCATTCTAACAACTGTTTAGAAGAATGATATCCATTTTAAAACTGCATACTTTTGCACTTTTCATTACCAGATTGAATTTGGGAGAGAGGGGAAGAAGAGGGAAGAAAAATAAATGATAGGAAAGAAATGTACTCATAAAAATCTAATTTTCTATCAGTATTAACATAACATATTTTTAAATTACTCTTGGATTATGTGTTTGTTTTGTTTTTGCTTTAATGCTGTTGCATCTGACCCATTCTGTGGAAATTTGAGATTTTGAAAAAAATGTCTCACCCCACATAGGTATGAAAATCCAAAATTTTCATGGTTGCGAGAAGAAACCATTCATTTTGGGTCACTCAGAATGGTCCATTTAATTTTTGACCATTTTGTATAAAATAAAGTAGATTTTGAAATAAAAGTAATTTCAGAATGAAATACTCAAACTTTCAATTCTTATTTTGGGAAACTGGTTTTTTCCATTTTTTGTTCCAAAATGAAATTTCATCAAACATTTTGAGAAAAAATTTGGTTTAGTTGAAATGGTCTTTTCTGATGGAAAACTCAACCATCTGTATTCACAAGAGTAATCTTTGACATCACAAACTGGGAACAGAACCCAAGAGTAAAATCCTGACCCTGCCGAAGTCAATGACAAAACTACTATTGATTTCAGTGGGGCCACGATTTCACTTCAAAAGTTATGATTTGACTTCTCTTCTCCTGCCTCAGGCGCACATCGAAGAATGAACTTTAAAATACTGGGTTTCTATTCCTGTGAATATGAATTATTTGCATGACTAAATATTTTCATGATTGCATCAGAATCCAGTTCAAGATCCAGTTTGCTCTTAATGGCTCCCGGTGGGATCTATAACTTTTTAAATGTGTTTTTAGGGACAGAACATTGACTTTAAAATGTATATTAATGGGATGATAATAAATGGAGCATCTGTAACAGGCATTGCAAAGACAGCATTCACTGGGCAATTTTTAAAGAATTATCTGTTGCAGTAATAATAGAAGGTTTCAGAGTAGCAGCCGTGTTAGTCTGTATCCGCAAAAAGAAGAACAGGAGGACTTGTGGCACCTTAGAGACTAACAAATTTATTAGAGCATAAGCTTTCGTGGACTACAGCCCACTTCTATAGACATGCTTTTCTGTCAAGTGCTATCTTTATTTACCATGATTATAAAAATATCGCTGAAATTTCAAAATTATCATAAGGACAACTTTTGATAAAAAAAAGTTAAAAGATCAGTGGACAAAATTAATAGAACCAATCTGATACCGAGTACTGGTATATTCCCCTTAGGCATCTGTGAAGACAGAACTTATTCTACCGCACCAGAAATGTTTATCAAAACCCATGTTAATTGCCAAAATAGTGAGACTGCAAACTGAAAATCCTGATCATCCCTAACAGAGCTAACATATGATACCCATGTTCGACATAAATACGTGAGTACTCCTATTGAACTTGCTAAGACCACTCACGTACTGAAAGTTAGGTACGTAAATAAGTCGTTGGAGGATCAGAGCCTTAGAGTTGACAAAATGATCTTCCCAAGTAATCAACTAAAAAGAGTCCAGGATAGATTATCCTTATTTTAAATAAAATTATGAATATATGCAATGCCATAAAATGCTCATATTGCTAATGTGTAAAGTTTGTATTGCTTAATAGACTACTTTTATCTAGTACATGCACACCCACGTGTATATAAGTTGTACATCACACTCTTTTCTTAAACTTAAGTTTTACTGTAAATTAGACACTAATTCCTGTAACTTTTTTCTTTACATTGTATGTTAAATGTTACAGTTATTAAAAAAGTACACACAGAAGCAAACATACCATAATATAATAAATAATAACAATAATCAATCATGGAAAGATTAATTTGAATATTGCAAGCATCATTCTCAGCCAGTCAGTTTTCTTTTAAATTGTTTATATTTTTCAAGAAAATACAAACACTGCAATGGACATGAATAAATGAATACAACAATCAGCTACATCCGGACAAAGGAATGCAGGTATATACATGTTTTATGCTTTTAGTTTCTGATTTTTTTCCTTTTAAATTTTGACACAAGATCTTATGAATTTTTTTTCTAAAATACTGAACTTGCTCTTCTAAAAAAAATTGATCCTTCATGATGGATGTAAAAAAAGATTGTCCTCTGACTACTTTTTGGCTTTTCTGATTGGCCACAGAAAACTAGTTTGATGACTATGAGTCGAATCTGAACAAGATAAAAAAGCTATCAGCTTCTCAATGAATATTTCTAAATGTACATGATTATTCAGAAAGCAACTAAATTTGAAATCTTCATTAGGAATTGGCAAGTATGTTTTTGGCACAATAATGCCTTTCTGGCTTATCAAGTAAAATGCTTGTTTGGTTTTCTGCTCCCTCTCTCTCTAATACCAGGCCCCTAGGAGTGCTAATGTTTTATAGGCTGTATTATTTCCATTACTGGTGCTTTGGACCAATTTTGGGGGATTTTATTTGGTATCATTTTAAGCGTGATTGATACAAGGTGAAGATCAATGTAAACAAATTCAAGGGCAAAAGTATGGGGTAGCAACATGTCCGCGAAACAAAAAATAAGACTCTGCAACAGCTGTGTGGTATCAGTTTTGCTCGATGCTGCAAAGACCTGGGGCATTACGCAAGCTGACAAGAAAAGATTTGATGCATTTGATAGCAGGTGTTTCGGAGGGATATGTAATGTCAAATGGCACCACTATGTTGGGAACATTGAGTTTCACAAGAGAACAAGAAAGAAGCATATTATATACCTCCTAACAAGGAAGTGAGACTTTAACAGACTGACCATCTAGCAAGCATGGAGCAAAGACGGAGAGTGAGAGGACTTACAGAATGGAGTCCCTTATCTGGGCTTCCAAGTGTATCCTAGGGCAGATCCACCGCTCATTGAAGTCAATGAAAAGCCTCCCTATCTTCTCTGCATCTATCTTGTTAGGCTGTAAGCTCTCTGGGGCAAGGACCATCTTAGTGTTAGCCCTGTTCTGTGCTGAGTACACAGCTGGCACATAAGAAATAATCATAAAAGAGGGAGGAAAAGAAACAATTTAAAAATGAAGGTCTGTGGCTCAATCCTGCAAACCCTTGCTCTCCAACAAACATGGAAATAATGGTTTGATGAAGCAGGCCCCTAGAGTTTGGCAAACGTGAACTTAAGCTGTGCAGGGAAAAGGAGTTAATGGCACACAAAGAGCCCATATTAAGCCCATGTGACTCCACTGACTTCACTGAGGCTCCACAGATGTCAGCAAGAGAAAGATCTGACCCACAGTAACAATACCCTATTGTTTGCTTTCTCAGTATCTTCCCAGATGCAGATTTTGTGAATGAAAGATGAGGAGCATCTTTTTGAAACTGTTGCCTGAAGAGTTTCAGAGTAGAAGATAATTGAAAACAGATGGGCATGAGACGGTAGAGCCAGGCAATATGGACAAAGCGGACCTGTGCTACAGAAGCTCTAGCAACTGTTATGACCCTTTAAGATGCGAAAGAGGCTGTACTAATGTATGGACTACCAGCAAGTTACATTTGTTCATGACTGAATCAAGAAAAGGAAACGTACACCTTCCAAATAGTAATTAGAATCACATTCAAAAAGATCTATAAAAAGAAGAACAGGAGTACTTGTGGCACCTTAGAGACTAACAAATTTATTAGAGCATAAGCTTTCATGGACTACAGCCCACTTCTTCGGTTGATTTCCCTATATCAAATGATATCGAAAATAGTTCACTGATCAAGCTCGGATTTTACCTTTTCCTTTATTTATTTTAAAAACCTCTTGTTTCAGTTTTTTCAGTTGTCTAACATACCTCCAGCTGGCATAATATGTTATTGTTGTTTTCATTTGAAAACTCCTCAGATTTCAGTACAAATATTCAATTACTGCAGTAAGACTTTTTAAGTGAAGCAATTGAACCTTTGTTAGCCATTGATTTCAATTGCTATTTCCTAGCTGGTATCTTTTTCTTTATTTTTATATGCAGAGCTCAGGACAGGCTCCCAGAAACAGACTTTCTTTGTTAAACTTTTAGTAATAAAAATGTTATTCGCCTGCTGTACTTTATAGCTCACTTTAAGAAAATCAGCGAAGGACAAGTGTACATGATTCATCAAATCATTAAACAGAAAATATTATAATAAAAATAAGAATATTCTCCCCCCCCCCAAAAAAAAACATTTTAAATTGAAATGTCCTCAGCTTTGGATATATGCCAGAATAAGTGACAATAATCATTAAGGCAACTCAACTGGCCCATCAAACATTTGGTATTTGAAGGAGTTGAGCTCTTAGGTGCTTGTCACAAAGGAAAGATTCACACACGTGCTAGAAAAGAGACAAAACTGAAGTTTAGCAGAATCATGTGCTCGGGACTAGCAGACTGAGATCGGGGTAGGATTCACACCAGTTAGATTATTATGACAAAATTGATAATGGCATGGGGAAAACTCCCTTTTTGACTTTGAAAGGACCATACGCAATGCTTATGTGCTGTGCCTGAGAATCTATTCACAAACATAGAACGTAACCCCATTGCCTGATGCTGATAGATGCCACTAAATCTACAGTAGTTAAGAAAACCTAGTGGAGGCAGCTGTTTTATACTTAGCAAGTCTCCCATTAGAATGGAGTGGACAATTGTCCGTCTTTCACAGCCAAGGAGAGGGAATGAACTTGGTGCAGGTCAGGAAGCTGAATGGAGCGACGGCTTCTGAATTGCATTCTGATTGCACTGTGCCAAATAAAATATTTCACCTTTGTTCAGTTGGGTTGGGTATACAATGGATAGTCATATGTAACCCTACCTCAAAGGCATTTCAGGGAAATATATAATGTGGATTATAGCCTCTGATGTGATTTAGTAGTATATTATATCTCCCATGTTTACCTATAGTGGAATTGTGTCTCTAATAGAGAGAGGAAAACTAGAGGAGCAATTTTTTCATACAGGAGGGGCCTGATTCTGCACCATAAAGTCATTGGGACCTTTGCCATTGACTTCAGTGGGTGCAGAATCAAACCCTAACTGTATAAGTAAGACATTCTACTGTTTAACAAGAAATTGTGAAATGTTGAGTGGTTAATTAGGGTTGCAAGCTTTCTGATTGCAGAAAACCAAACAACCTTGCCTCGCTTCTGCCCTGAGGCCCCACCCCTCCCCCCCTTCTCCAAGGCCCTGCTCACTTCATCCCCCCTCCCTCCCTTGCTTGGTCTCCCCCACCCTTGCTCATTCGCTCATTTTCACTGGGCTGGGGCAAGGGGCTGGGGTGTGGAAGGGGGTGAGGGCTCCTGCTGGGGTTGTGGGCTCTGGGATAGGCTCTCAACCTTTCCAGACTACTGTGTCCCTTTCAGGAGTCTGATTTGTCTTGCGTACCCCCAAATTTCACCTCACTTAAAATCTACCTGCTTACAAAATCAGACATAAAAATACAAAAGTGTCACAGCCCCACTGTTACTGAAAATTGCTCGTTTTCTCATTTTTACCGTATAATTATAAAATAAATCAATTGGAATATAAATATTGTACTTACATTTCAGTGTATAGTATATAGAGCAGTAGAAACAAGTCATTGTCTGTATGAAATTTTAGTGTGCTAAGTTCGCTAGTACTTTTTATGTAGTGTGTTGTAAAACTAGGCAAATATCTAGATGAGTTGATGTACCCCCTGGAAGCCCTCTGAGTACCCCCAGGAGTACATGTACCCCTGGTTGAGAACCACTGGCGTAGGAGACAGCTATCTCTGCTATACGTCCACTGGGGAATGCAAATCAGGGGACGTGCAGTCAGTTTCCATTCCCTTTGTGCTGCCTGAACAGCACAAACGTCGCACAGTATACTAGAGAATATGACCCAGAGCCTTCTGAGCTTTCTTTCATTATTTACCTTAAATAGTGTCTGTGCAATAGGTGCTTCTGGGCAAGTTTAGCCCTTCATGGAATATTTGCACCCAGTGCTTTACATCTGAAAAGTTTAGTAACTGTTTTCCTTACTCATATCATAGCTGTGCTAGCCATATTATTATTTATTTGTCTTATTGTAGCACCTAGAAGCACTCGTTATGCCCCCAGGAATAGGTGGTGTAAAATACCGAACAAAAAGATGGTCCCTGCCCAATGAGCTAACCATTCAAGTATAAGACAAGATACAATAGATAGGGGAGTACAAGGAAACAATGGGGCATATTGGTAAGCATGTTAGACAGTGATCTCAGAGCACCAGCAGCCTCTAGGTAAGCCTGACAACATTTTGGGGCAGAAGGTTCATAGGTCTATTTTTTTCATTCCTACGTGCTCTACTTTTACATCTCTTATTCAGCAAAAGTTTCGCCAGCAGCAGCACCTATCTGTGATCATCATGGTGGTAGTCTTGGGCAGACAGGTAAAACCCATTTCTGGAAAATGTCCATTAATTACATGTCATTTTGTATAGCAAGAGCATTGCAAAAATATTGTTTTGGAGGCTTTCATGGTCATCTGGTTCATAGGGTCAGCATGACATAGTGGACTAAGCATGGGATTTGAGGCCTAATTTTCCAATGTAGGGGCACAAATTTAGGCACCCAAGTGAGATCATATTGGCCATAACCAGCTGTGTCTCAGTTTTCTGATCTGTAAAAATACTTACCACCCATTATGGCTGCATAAAAGATTTACTGTGCTGCAGCTATCGAGTCAGAGAGGAGTGAAATCTCCATGGCAGTTTACTGGCTCTACCATGGCTACTCTGGCAAAGCAACCTATCAATACTTAATGGTAAGAATCCCTACTTCAACTGCGGAACTCATGATCACTGGATGTCATTGGATATGTCTGCACTGCAATTAGACACCCTGTGCCAACTGACTTGGGCTTGGGCAAAGGGGCTGTTTAAATGCCGTATAGACGGTTAGGCTCTGGCTACAGCCTGGGGTCTAGGACCATGTGAAGTGAGAGAATCCCAGAGCCTGGGCTACAGCCCGAGCCTGAACATCTACACTGGAGTTAAACAGCCCCTTAGCCTGAGCCCGAGTCAGCTGGTATGGGCCAGCTGAGGGCATCCAATTGTAGTATAGACATACCCATTGAGGCCAAGAATTGAGAGGATTCAAAGAAGGAATGGACTAGAATTGGTCAAAAATTTTCCACCTCAACATGTTTCTGCCAGGAAACCATTTCCTCACAATAAAAACTTTCTGTGGGAATGTGTTAATTTGGGAGGGAGGGGAGACATTTTTTGATAAGGGTCAAAACAATTTTTCATTCTGAAAATTTTATTCTATGTTATAAATTATAAAAGGAAAAAAATCAGAAAAAAGCATTTTGATTGTATTTAAATGGAACATTTTGATTGACCCAAAACAATGATTTATTTACTGACTGAATTTTTGATTCATGGGAAATGTATTGGCTTTGTCCTGACCTGGAAAGAAAACAAATTTTGAGATGTCAGAATTTCTCATGGAATGGAAATCCCAACTTTCAACCAGCACGTGAACAGACATTAATAAGGATAATAAAGAATATGCAGTTATAACAGTAAATACTAAAAATAACAAAGTTTTGGAAGGGATTAAATCCTCATGCTTCAGGACTTCAGTCAACTTCTAACTCCTGGGGGCTAGGAGGAGACTTATTGCCTTGCAGGGGCTGTCTTACACCTTCTTCGGAAGCAGCTAATGCTTGCCACTGTCACTGACAGGGAGGATACTGGCAAGGCCGGCTCCAGGCACCAGCTAAGGAAGCAGGTGCTTGGGGTGGCCAATACAAAGGGGCGGCACGTCCGGGTCTTTGGTGGGAATTTGGCAGCGGGTCCCTCAGTCCCTCTCTTCCTCTTTGAGCTGCCGCCGAACTGGAAGACAGGGGGTGAAGGACCTGCCACTGAACTACTGCCGAAGAATGGAGTGGCGCGATTGAGCTGCCACCGAAGTGCCGCCGATTGGCTTTTTTTTTTCTCGCCACTTGGGGCGGCAGAAAACCTGGAGCCGGCCCTGGATACTGGGGAACACCCTGAATCTGATCTAGTATGGCAATTTCTATGCTACTTTTAAGAGGAGTGTGAGGATTTAGTCAGAGGGCTTGATTCACCAGTGCAGATATTCCAGATTTTTTCAGCACATACTCAGTGGCTGGAAATTTGTCCAGAGAGGACAACTGGCAGTTTCAAGGCGCCCAAGAAGAGATAGGCAGAACTGGCCATGGAAGGGTGAGACCAAGACAGCCAGGGAACAGGTTGTCCTGTTTATCCCCTGGGCAATCTTGGCCACTGGGGATTCCTATTGAGTTGCACTCCCCAGTGGAGACCAGTTGTGCAAACAGCACCTGTCCTTGCCTGGTCTGAAGCCGTGTTGCTGGCGCATAGGATTTCTAGGCCCCTGCTGGCACAGACAGCTTGTCATTTGCATCCCCTGGAGTCAGTGGGCATAAATTAAGCCCAATGTTTGTACGGCACTTTGAAGATGTAAAAGGACGAAGGGCACAGCAAAACTAGAGTGAAACTGTATATGCAAGTATCGCTAACGTGCAAAATATTTGTGTGTGTGAAGAATCCTATGAAAAATTCCAGAAATTCAA